TTTACTACACGTATGTATATTATATTATCACTTACTACCGAAAAGTTGTTCCATTATTTCACTCGATTTTTGCCGAGATCTACCGCACGCTACACAACCAACTATTTTAGAGTCTTTTTCGATAAATCGCGATAGTGTCACTGTTAATTTAAGTTCTGCTATAATTTCCATCTAGATTTACTACCTTTATACAACTATCAGTAGTAGAATAAATAATAAATAACGTAAAATAGGCTCCGTAAAGCCTGACAAATCCACAAAATTTAAAATCAAATTCAAATGTGTCAAATGAATCATCAAACAGAACTGTCAAGGATCCCCACCCTAGAGTGCTTTTTCCGCCCACCATGCATGAATACATGGATAGCATTATGCTCCTTCCTTAGTCTTCTTATTCAAAGTTAACAAAAGATTCATCTTAAATTAAAATTTTAATCAATCACAATTGTTTATCTCCATCATTTACCAGATTAATAATACAGAAATTACAACTCAATTAGAAATAATTCATTATTTATAAGAGTAATTTTATTAAATTATACGAATATTATCTTTGATTATTGGTTTGAAATAAATATAACAGTGTCCTTCAATGAAAATGCGAGTTACTAACTCTAAATTCTAATTTTGAGCTGGCAAATGAGCTAGATGCTTTACCTAGACGGTCATTTAGAAGTTACATCGATGAAAATATACATAAAATCAAGGTTGGTACAGTTTCAATTTTATTATGGTGATTTTCTTAGCCGCGTATGGCACAGATCGTTACCCAGTGTTGCCACAAGCTTATTTTTCATCGAGATATATTATCACGAGATAGCGGGGTTAAATTGTTTTACAAAGGGGTAGATCTATCCCGAATGGGGTAGCTGTGGCAACACTGCCGCTATCACTTTTCCCCTCGCTGTCTCGCGGCCGTCATTCAAGGCCGTGTGTCACGCTACGCCACTGTATTCGATACTAAAAGAAATTCACACAAGCCCTTTTAAAGATCGAATGACGATTTAATATAAAATTTTATGACGTGATGCTCTAGAATGCTAATTAATAATAATAATATTTTTCAATAAAATATATAGACTCATGTATATTTAATTTAAATGTTCTAATTAAAGGCAATTAACAGACTAATTTAATTAAGGTAATAAATTGTGGCGTAATGACAGTTGGAGTTATATCTACGTGCGCTAGTGAACATGTAACAAGAAATTATAATCGCTATTCCTATCCGTTTTTATTATATGGGGTGAAAACAATAATAATTAATTAGCCTTATTCAGTATCTAGACCATAGAAATGAATAAAAGACAGACAACCAAAATACAGGGGGTTTCAACAAACATGTGCCATCTCTTGTGGGGAGAATCCTTATGTAAAAATAAGATTTATTTTTTAAATCAACATAAGTCTTTAAAAAAATTTGTTACATCTTTAAAAATAGTCTAAAATTCTACGATAACTTAAAGAAATAGGTAAAAAATGATACAATTTTATAGACAATTAAATTGTGCATCTGATTCACGTAAAATATACAGGGTATTTTATTTAAAATAATCAAGTTATGGCCTTTAAAAGCTAGTAATTATTTAATATAAATTTTTAGACGCTCTGTATAAGATAGTATTATTTTTATAATTTCACATTAAAATTTACTAAATAGAAAAACTTCAGTACAATATTTGGTTTAAAAAATTTAAATAGGCCTAGAGAAGTGAAGCATTAAATTTGTTACTGCATTTTCACAAAATCGTAAATATTTCAAAAACGGTAAGGTTATAAAGTGGGGTAAACCTTAATCAAATTTACCTTTATTTTAATCGTAGAAACTAAAAATGCAATAATATACAGGGTGTTCCATTTAAAAAAAAACAACTTTTATATTTTTTATTAATTTGGGACACTCTGTACAATTTCTAAAAATCTAATTATTTGACTACAGTACTCAGTGTCGAATGAAGTTAGTAACCCTGTATAAGTTCTCAGTATACCTGGTATAGTGCAAATAGAATCTTAAAGAGTACAATAATTTATACAAAGATTTTTTCTAAGGTTTTTCATAATGAGAAGAATGTTTCTTATCGTCTACCCACTTTTAAATATCATTGAATAAAAATGTAAATAATTTAATTTTAATCGTGAAGTCTATTGGAATTTAATGAATAAGCTTTTGTCATTCGTTTTTCTTCTTTGTATTATTTTGATTTCGAGACTGGGATATCTTTAAGTAAAAATGCAAAAATAATTTTCTAGGTGATAAAATAATATTTTCGCAATATTTTTTTCTGTTATTATACTCAATAGACTGGTGGTATGATTTATTCAAATGATATTGCCTTGAAAATAGTTTTCCTTGTTGTTAATAAGAGATTTGGAATTGCTCGGTGTTATTTAGGTTCAAAAAACTTTAGGTTAAATCTGGTTTCTGAATTAATTAATTTTTTTAACCAACCCAACCCAAATAATTTCTGAATTAACGTCAATATTTGGATGAAAATTGGTGTCGGGGAGTTTTTTGACATGAGAAATTTGATTATAACATCAATAATATGACTCCTATTTGTAGAGGGCGCCACCTACATGTGTTTTAACTGTTTTGGAGAGCAATAACTTTTCGTCCGTACCTGTATAAAACTACTGAGTGATAAAATAAACATTTCCGTGATTTTTTACCGTTTTTACCGTTCTCAAGATATTTAGAATGGAAATAGTCAATACATATCATTATTGACAAAAAATAAACACGTAATAATAATAATAATAATATAATCCAGTAAAATTGTATCGCCGTATAGAGAGTGAAAAAAAAATTACGGGCAAGCTGATTCTTTCAGAGTTTGTCAGCGACTGTCTTCTGAGTGTAAAATTAACAAAATCGGAAATTTTCCCCTTGCGGTTTTTGTGCAATAAGGATGTTTTTTTTTTAACTATACTACAACAAAATAATTAGACGCAAATTGTACATAAGAACATTCTCTATAAGTTCGCCTAATGATTTTTTTTTATAAGTTAATTATTTCCGGACTTAGCGGCCGTTTCATGAGCTCTTTGGGGTGGTGTTCAAAAAGTTTGTTTTACAGTAAATTGACCCGTATGAAAGTTGTTCATAATAAATGGACAAGCAACTTTTCCTCATGGATTTTTTTGTAGCTTGATTATTTTTGGAGATATCGTTCAGTTCATGAACAAATTAGGGTAGTTTTCAATGTTACTCTTTTTTCAGCAAATTGACACTAGGAAACTCGTTCAAAATAAGAGTACATATACCTTTGCCTTATGAACTTTTTTTGTAACTTGACTATTTTTGGAGGCAGCGCCCAGATCTTGAACAAGTGGTGGTAGTTTTAAATGTCTTTTTTTCAGGAAATTCACAAGTGCTATTGGAAAATGGATTCGTGTTTTATTTGCAAGAAATTATTGAATGTTGCTGAAATTGAGGACGTTCAGAGAAAAAAAAAATTATGAAACTACCCCAATTTGTTCATGAACTGGACGCTATCTCCAAAAATAATGAATCTACAAAAAGAATCATGACGTTGCTTGTCCATTTATTATGAACAACTTTCATACGGGTCAATTTGCTGTAAAACAAAAATTTTGAAAACCACCCCAAAGGGTTCATGAAACGGCCGCTAAGTCCGGAAATAATAAACTTATAAAAAAAATCATTAGGCGAACTTATAGAGAATGTTCTTACGTACAATTTGCGTCTAATTATTTTGTTGTAGTACAGTTTAAAAAAAAACACCATATTGCTCAAAAACCGCAAGGGGCAATAAACAAAATTTGCAATAAACAAAATTTCCGATTTTGTTTATTTTACACTCAGAAGACATTCGCTGACAAACTCTTAAAAAATCAGCTTGCCCGTAATTTTTTTATTTCAAATGACAATTTTATTGGATTAATAGTTATTTGACTGAAATTTGGGATTTTTTTTTAATTATTCATAATTTTTTCTTCGAAAAAATGATGATAAAACAGTTTCTGTTGAACTTATGGCACAAAAACATTTCAAATTTATGATTTTAGAATAATAACAATTTAGTCTCAACGCATGTTTAATTTATATCAATGATGACAGATATTGACATTTTCGATTCCAAATAAACGTCGTAAATGTATATTTTTTTACTCAGTAGTTTTATACAGGTACGGACAAAAAGTTATTACTCTTCAAACCAGTTAAAAAATAGGTACGTGGCGCCCTCTACACGCAGGAGTGATATTGACATCAAAATCAAATTTCTCATGCCAAAAAACTCCGAGACACGAATTTTCATCCAAATATTGACATTACTTCAGAAAATATTTGGAAAAAATCGACATAAAAATGAAACTTCTACACCCTGTATCTCCGAAAGTAAGCATTTTAGGACGCACATTTATACGAACTTTTTTACTTATTTTTATGCTGCCGAAGTTCCCTGTTCGGATCACCCTGTAGAAATTACTCTTATTGCAGTTTTGATAAATCTAATAACTTTTTTAACTATTTTTATCTGGAGTAATAAATAATATCATACAGAAACTCTATATTATAGTGAATTTTATTAATAAAATATTACAAAAGATAAAGCCTCGTTAAATATTATTATATGTACATACAACGATTTAAAAGAAAATAATATGGAATAATATTATTTTGTCCAAGGGAAAAGTGTAAAATCGATACACACTCCTCATTCACGCCGGTTCGAGGCCGGATGAGATCGGATATCTCGTGAGTAAGAGTTAATTTAGACTCTTCCTAAGTCGGTAGGCCACTGACCGTGATATGGCCGAGGACCGCGGTTCGGATTCCGCGTAAACCAAGTAGGCCCCGTTCAGATTAGCCCTGGCAGCAAAAAGGAGACGTTAACTGAAATCTTTACTTTACTTTAGTCTTTACCTATACTTATAGTTTGAGAATTGATGACTAAAACAGAATGTAAAATAACTTATTAAATTATGTTCCTTGATTTAAATTTTGGAGATGACTTATCTTGCTTTCTTTGTTTCAGAGTTGGGAACTGCTAGTCTTAAGTAAATTAAAGTGGGACATAGCCGCTATTACGCCTCATGACTTTTTACAACACCTTCTGGATAAATTGCCCATCCAGAGGTACGGTATTGACTACACCATGGTGCTCAACCACGTCAAAACGCTTATAGCACTTTGTGCGAGAGGTGAGTTATAATTTTAAAAAAAATCAGTACGTACAGGGTGTCCCGTTTTGGTTGAAATCATACGGTATCTCCGTTATTAGCAAAGGTAGGAAGATGCGGTTTGCACAAACCTGAAATGGAACAAAATGGAACACCGCCTTGCTATGAGCTTCTCAAAAATACATATTACTCTATATTTATTTTCACTATTTACTGCAATATTTAAAATATAATTACCTACTATATAAAACCTAATTTTCTTATTAGTAGGCCGTGATAAATAACAGAAAATTAAAATGGTATTTACTAAAAAAATCATACACATATTAAAATTTTATTTGGAACTGATATATTTTACTTTTGAACTGTTACCACTGAATCTCTGAATATATTTTTCTTTTTTTTTATAACGGAATTTATTTTAACGCGATGGGTTTTCAATTATCTAAAAGCTTGCATTATTAAAGCATTTTCCTGGGGTTCGACATTGTGTTAGTTGCCACGATATATTTCATATTTCAAAAATCACCAAAATTAGAAATCGAGAACGGACAAATCCGGGAATCAGGGAGGCCATCATATGTGTCCTTTAGGTCCAATTCATTGATTTGAGAAATGATAATTTAACAAAATTCTAATATTTTCGTTGTAAGTTAAGTTGTGAGGGGGAGCCCCATCTCGCTGAGAGTATATTTTATGTAAATTAGCAAAAGGAATATTTAAAAGTTCCAATACGATAGCTTCCAAGATTTACAAATAGCGGTAGAGAGTTAAGTTTCCCTAATATATAAAGAATTTATTAATGGCTCTCTAAATAAAACAAGAGACAGATAGCAGTATACTTTTAATAATTCTTTAGTTTATTTTATTATTAATCATGACTTACTAATAAATATGATCTTTTAATATATGTTTTTAAATATTGTAGTAAATAGTGAAAATAAATACAGAGTGATATATATTTTTGAGAAGCTTAGATCTTTTGAGAAGCCAGATCATATATAATTTATAAATATACTAAAAATTCCATTTAAGAAAACAACTTTAGTTTATATCTTTAAAAATATTCTTTTCGTAGAATAACAGACTACGCGCTGTATTCTACGTAAGAAGTTCTACAATAAACAGTTTTCACCTTCTCGATACCTTTAACAATAACATAGATACAGGGGGTGCCCAAATTGCAAAATTTTTAAAAAGACCCTGTAGCTCTGAAACGAAGAGGGCTTTGAAAATTTTGTTTACGGCATTTTTCGTTTGACAAAAAAGTGGCATAGGTTTGTGCAAACCGCACCCTTCTATCTTCACGAATAACGGAGATATCGTATAATTTCAACCAAAATAGGACACCCTGTACATGTATGAAAGAATAATTATTATTCTTTCATGAATAAAATAAAATTTCTTTTAAAACATGTATATTAGCAACATAAAACACTAAATATAGATCATTAAAACTCAGGGCGTTCTAATCACCTGTTAATGATGCTAACATGGTTAGCGAAACGCGCGTCCAGTGTAAGAGTAAAATTGTGTCGGTGTATTATGGTGATTTAGTGTTTTATTTTGCTGTTGCAACACCAAAGATTCCAACCCCAACTGTAATAACATGTATATTACATTGTTTTTTCTACAGACGTTTATAATTTTGAGGCCTCGCATTTTCAAAGTTTAAGTGGATATTTTTAGTTAAAAATTGGTTTCAAAATTGAAGAAGTGTGTTTAAAAATGTACGAAGCGATAAAATATTATCCATATTATTACATATGCGATAAAATTTCTTTATGTAGGTTGCTTAGAGACGAAAGTGCTTTTATAATCATTATTTACTTACACATGCTATCGACTTCAATGCTAAAAATATGTTCCCTTTAAGATATTTTTCATTACAATATGTATCTATGGTATTCGTTTTTTTATCTTCATCTGTACCTTATTTTTTGGTTATAAAAATTTGCAAGCTGAAACAGTAATATCACTTTTGACTTTAGATAAGACGGTATTAGTATTATATTTAATTTTTTTGGACTTAACTGGCGTAAACAAAGTAGGCCCCGTCGAGACGCCGTTAAAACGTTTCGTTACAACTAGCTCGCGTAAAGAAGTTTTATTTCAAAAAGTTCCATAAATCATGGCCTAAAATTGCGTTAGCAGCTATAATATTTACTATTCTATTATATAATTATAATTATATATTATATTATTTTATAATTATAACAAGTAACCACAAAACTACAACATAAAAAAACTATACACAAATAAACTAAAATTCGTAAAATAAATGGCAAATAATAATTATTATTTTTACACACACCACTGGCACTAGCAGTAGATTGTGTTGGTCGCCGAATATATGCGCCGGCCCATCTACGATTCAATCCCAACATATCTTTTATCTTCGTCTCTTCAACGCTAACCGCGCCGATCTCGCCTATCTCTTTCTCACAGGATTGATTGTCGAACAGGCCGGGAATCCACGAGCTTGCGACCTTACTAATTGACATCTTGATATAATCTGCAGACCTGCCGCTTCTTTTGCGTGTTTTTAATGGACACAAATCGAATAAAACGCTTCAAACGGTAAAAAGGCAAAACGCAAAAAACGCTTTCTGTATGGCCGTGGGCTAAGAAAGAGCCAGGAGTTACGTTTCATAGGTAAACAATCCACACCATCTTTTTAGCGTTTTCTTATTGAATTTGGTAATTAATTCGCACGGCACTGTTTGGAGGCATAGTAACAACTTGATATCGGGTGTTATTAGTCCTTGTATTATTTAGTCATTGTGCAGTATAATACAGTCGTTATTTTCTTTTTCGTTTAAATTGAAATAGACGTACAAAAAATTGTTATTATTATCAAATTATGTACTTTAAATGACATTGAACAGTGTGAGAATTTTTTTAATTGTTCAACTCATTGATAGAGTCGCCCTTTTTTATGTAAATGCAATTGTTTTGACGGCCCCGCTTCATATCGCAAATATATTAAAATAAATTGTCATAACATTCGTTAATGATACGGTACTTCCTTTTGCATAATAATATTGTATACATATGTTAGACATAGTATCTAAAACATGGTATCAGTCAGGCTACACTTAATTTGTTTATTTTAGATAGGACATTATAAAAATATGAGAAACATTAGCTTAAGTATAGAGTCGCTAGGTTTATTACACCAAAAATGTTATAATATAGATTATGTTTCTCTGAATTAGGTACTTTATACTCATTTTTGTTATTAATTATTTTATTTTTATTTAAGATACAGTAAATGAAAGATGAAAAACCACAAATTTATACAGAATATTTGTGGCATTAAAAAGTTGCACTTTTATAAAATACTTTGGAGTTATTTTAAGGGATATCCCTTATAGTACAATTATTCATTGTATATACACTAGGTACCACCCACAGAAATATTTTTCACACGCTTTGTGGTGTTTATTAAGCAATTTGGGTTTGTGTCAAATAAATCACTATTTAGTATTTATTTTTTCAACTTAGTCATGCTTCCGCCACTTTCTGCATTAAAATTGGCTGTAAGCAATGTACAGGATGGGCAATATCATTCCGATGTTTTAATAAGGAATTTTGAATAATATATTAGATAAATATCAGTTAGGTAGCGTTGTTGGTTCAAAAGAACTTGGAACTTGAAGATGGTAGATTGATTATTGTTCTTTTCACTCCTTCGTTGTCGTAGGTTTCTGTAAACAGTACTTTTACAGTACGCTATAATGCTATAAAACAATAGTGTCACTGTTAATTAAAGTTCTGATACAATTTCCTTTTAGATTTACTAACTCTAAACAAAACAGATTGTAGAATAAATAATAAATATCCAAAAATAAGCTCAGTTAAAACAAACAAATCCACAAAATTTCAAATCAAATTCCACCATGCATGAATACATGGACAGCATTATACTCCTTCCTTATCTTTGTATTATTATATATTAAAACATTATCAATACTGGTTCATTTATCTACCACATTTAAAGAAAGATATTGGTAGGGTTGTGGATTTGACCTGTCAATTTTTTTTCCATCAATTGACCAAAATAATTTTAAAAGTACAACGAAACAAATAAAAACAAATTGATATTATTAATTATATCATTGAAATAATATATAAATAAAAATATTTTCATTTTAAAACAAAAAAAAAATAAAATTAGAAAATAAACATAAACATATTTCTATTTTAACTTAAAATAAGCAATAAACAGAGAACATTTGAAAGTTATTTTAAAAATACTTTTATTCTAATTCAAAACAAACAATTAATTGACATAAGTAGACAGTGGTAAGTTCTCGTCTTCATCTTCATAGTCGATGTCATGGATGTCGATGTCTGAAGACGAAGACATGTCAGCTTCAGAAGATGAACTTACATTGAGGTCAGTAACCCTTCCATTTTTGTTTATTATATTTAAATTATATTTAACATAAACAAGTTTGCCAGATCTTGTAGTGGCCAACCTGTTTCTTAATTTATTATGAGCAATTCCCCAAGTTGACCAGTTCCTTTCACAAGAAGCTGAGGAGGCCGGCATTCTTAGTAATTTTGTTGCAACATTGTGAAGTACCGATTTATTCTGCCAACTGTCCCACCAAGTTGATGGTGTTATTTGACGATGTTTTACATACTGATTTGGTACTTTTTACGGCTGTCCATATTATTCGATTATTGAATGAATTTGATGCTGTTCTAAAATTTGATATCTCTCCAAGTATTCAATTTCAGATTCATTGATACCAAGTTGTACGATCAACGTAGTCGCGCGTTGCAGTTCTTCTGGAGCTAGATTCTCTCCTTTATATCTAGGATCGAGTAAATATGCTGCATTGTGCGTGTCGCTACAGGCCATATCAATTCTTATTACTGATGCAGTTGTTACTTTTCTTCTTCTCTAAGGAAAGGACTTAATGAAACAAATGTATTAATATGTTCTTTTAACAAATACAGTTTGTGACGGATATCCGATAAAGTAACAGAAGTATTTCCTTAATGATAAT